AATTCAATTTACCTCAGTTGTCTCGTGTTTAAAAGTGGCGTTTCTGGGGACCGTAGATTCTTCTCTGATTCTTCTTGTCTCAGCCAAGACTCACTATCATCAACTTTTTTCTTGTGCTTCTTACGGTATGGGACATAGAGAGCCGAGGTAAGCGATTGCAAATTTCTCAGTTAAAGTAAAGCCCAGTAGCATCCATCAGGAATTAAAAACCGACATGCACTGTTTACTTTTATTATTCTTAATCAAATAAGGGGTGTTTTAGTCTGCAAATTTAATCATATTGGTTAATGAGAATCATACAAACTGAGGAAAACTGACCGCAAATAATTGTGAACCGTACGCATGAGTAAGTATATTGCGTTGTCAGGTGATTTGATCTTCTACAAAAACATTATTGATTATCAACCGAGCAACATTGTACATATTTCCATCTGTAATAAAAAGCACTTACACATCGATCTATTTTTTTCAACGTGATGTGTACTTAAGTACCCTTCATCTGATAAAGAATTTCTTCTCTTTTCGAGCAGATATGTCACATGACAAAAATAGATAACAGAAAATGTTACTGAAGACTATCTGATTCAACTGGAATAATAACTCCAAACAGCTTTTTAATGTCCTGAGACATGTGCAAGGGAATTACATCTCTGCCCTGGATACGCTTCCTGACATCATCATGATAAGGATACTGACATGTTACCTTTGCACTTCTCCAAAACTTCCCCAAAGTGTGGCGATGCCTAGAGCAAATCCACATTTTTTTATTTATCCTCCTGAGCGAGGTGAAATACGCCAATCCTTTCCAAGATTAGCTCATTTTCACTTAAAAACCTCTTTAGACAGGTGGCAGCTTATCAAATGATGTTTTACTTCGTCATCGCATTCAGACAGTCGCACCAAACCACTTAAGCCACACGATGAACCAAAGTTTTTCCATCTTTGCTATTCAAAAAGCAGTCCTGAGACATAATGAACGTCTCGCTAATGAACGACTTCTTCCTGTACTTGTAATTGTTTCCAACGCGATACAAGTGCGGGAGATCTAAAGGAACTCACTATAACTTTGAATATTCGATACGATTTCAATTTCCGCTTCAAAATAGAAGCCTACTGTAATTCGTGAGTGGTCAGTGGTTACGCTCGTGAGGTAAAGAAGGGGTTTGTGACTTTCTCACTCAATTGAAAGACTCGCGTCACTCTTATGAAATGGATGAACGGAATACAGACTTCGAGCGGTCTCTTATTTTTCTTAAAGATAGTGAGGTCACGCGTATCCTGTGAGCATGGTGAAGCCGCGAGACGCGAGACTCGTATCTCGCGTCTTCGTCGCTCCACGCTCTCAGAGTTGGGCAAAGACAAGACACGTTATTTCCGGTGCGATACAAGAGGTTCAATGGTTATCTCGATTTATAAACACATTTATTTAGGTGGTAAAGATTTGTTTTTAAATCTATGAACTGATGCTAGTCCTATTTGGAACGAAATGTATTTGAAATAAAAAAGAATACTAAGTAAAACAAAAGTTGTCTGCAACACGAAGCATGCCTTCGCATTATGACTGAGAGTCCTAAAGTTTATCATGATACTTTAATGCATATGTTCGAATTATCCCGAAAATCTTCTGATAATCTGCCCGCACCCACCCCTCACCCCGCCCCTCGCCACTGAACCGTACTGTTTTCACTCAGCAGCTGGTCAGCGGTCACGTTTATGAGGTAAACAAACCGATCGATTCTTGATCACCGTTCTTGTCGATCGGAAAATCAAAATACCGGCGTGATATTGCCGCGAAGATGAAGCAGTTATGTTATTTGATTCGTACTTCACATTCGAGTCGAAGCTTGGGTGGCACAGGTTATTTCTTGCGGTGGAATCGACGAGGGGAATTCAGAAAGTTGTTGTGCTTGAATTGTTGGAATAAATGGTCGCATGGGGATGGTAAGTTTAATGAACAATTTCAAATTTTGCCGCTTGAATTGAAAGTAGAGTTCATTTAAATTGCTTTCGTATATATTTCTGACGGTTTTAGATTTACCTGCTTGATTTATATCGGTTACGCTTCATGTTGAGAAGTCCCTCAAAATGGCGGCCAAACTTGGAGATTGCCGAAAATTAGGTAAGTTCACGGAGTTATAAAGTTCTCGTAAAGGTCGGGCCGCAAAGTTTTTTTCTGTGGCTATCTTTTCTATGGTACCTACTTGCTAGCTATGTTAGTTGGATCAGTTAAGAACGCCTCACTTTTTCAAAACTTCACCATGAATTTGATCGGTTTTGGCGTATGTGATTTAGGCGAACCGATAAGGCGTCATTCAAGTCTCCCTGTTTCCTTGATTGACACGTGATGTTTACGAAAGTCGCCTCGATACATAAGATAGAGTTAATACACATGGCTGTGGTATTTGTTTTTTGCTGAGTTCCGTAGTTTTTTGTAAATTGTCCTCCAAAGTTGTATGAAATTAAAATCTTGAAAAGTGTCACGACAAGCCTTCACTCGAGTGAAATTTAATTTCCGTAAAACTCTGAAAAATAAAGAGATCCGATCAAACTGATTGTGGTTTTAGTATAGGTACATGAATGTCTTACAACACACAAGAAACCAGCGAAATCCGTGTCTCAAGCAAAATCGACCGGACCGCTCTTACAGAGACACTCTCTTAAGGGCTGGGTAGAAAAACCGTTGTTTATGACACAACTTGAGATGTTGTAAAATGTGTGTATCCATTCCGGATTTCGAATTCGCCAAATGTCTACTAAGTCGAAATCGAGACATAAGTCTTGTATTTTTTTTGACAGACTCTTTCTTAAAAGGTTTTCCACCGGAACAATCAAGATCGGAGTCCAATGTGACATTGAAATCTCCCCCTACAATTATCCTATGCTCTTTGTTAACAGCGAAATGTTCAATGTTTTTATTTAAATTTTCCAAAAAAACGGCATTGATCTTGAACCTTGTTGGGAGCATAAATATTAACAAACAAGAATAATGAGCCTTGTGCCTCAGCTTCCATTATAATTGAGCGGCCCTCGGTATCCAAATTAACGGACTTAACGCTAAAATCAAGGTCACTTCTCACTAAAATCATCACCCCACAACTGTGATTAGAACCATGTGCAAAATGAAACTTACCTTGCCATTGCGTCTTCCAGATATCTTCAACATCTACAGTACTGTAGGTTTCTTGAAGGAAAATGATATCGTACTTTCGTTCATTAAGCCACGTGAAAAGAGCTTTCCTCTTTGTTGGGGAACGAATCCCTCGAACATTAAGAGAAAGTAATTTAAAATTTATATACTCCTTCTCGAATGGGATAATTCAATCAACCAGTTACGTATACAAGTATCTCGCGTTGCA